GATTCCGAACTGATTTGTTAATATGCAAAAATATGGATTTAACATATGCAGTTTAATTTTATAGTGTTAGACATTTAATTTTTAAGCCAACAGTCAAACTTTGAGTACATTTTTAGTTTTTAGTAAATATTTGGCTATTTTTGTCCTAATCGTATGAAGAAAAGTGCAGATTGTGAATTTGTGATGAAAAAAGGGAACTGGTGGTGAAAAGGAAAAATTGAATCCTAGGTATTCATTACAATATGCGCCTACACAATACCTGCATATATTAAATGGTGCAATCTGATTGGATAATATAAGTCATGTGTTCTAATTATATTCTCATTCATTTTCAGATCACTGACATCAACACCTCTGCCAAAACAACACAATGCTTTGTTTACATATACAGCTCATTCAAAAGATGAACTAAGCTTCAAAGCTGGTGATGTCATTGTAGAACTTGAGGTATGTGCTAAATCTATCTAATCTAACTGAATAGGCAGGTCTGACAAGAATGTAGAGAGATTTGGGGTTTAAACTTAATTTATTTCCACTCTAAGGTGCCATTAAATAGAAATAATGCAAGACTCTGTCATAAGTGATGTTCATTAAAGGACATGTGATTCAACATTTTTCAAGAAGTATTTTTATTATTTACAGACATTTGATGGCAGTGGTTGGTGCCAAGGAATGCTACAAGATGGATCTGTTGGACTCTATCCATCTAACTATGTACAACTCATGACAGAACTCTGAAGATACATTGGCAGCTGAATATAAAGAACTGCAACCAAGGACAGAAAAGTGTGTTCAATTTTTTTCAAGTGCTGGTTGTAGGAACACTTATCATACATTTATACTATGGGGTGCTGCATTATGTGGGTTTTTTGTGTCGACAGTTGTTACTGTATATTGCACAGTAATATGATTCCTATAAAATACATAAAATAAGAAGGGCTACCCCCGAATTGAGTTGATATGTCGATAAAAAGACAAAAACTCTATGCATCTCCTGACTTGCAGCATACATGGAACAGCACGCTATTTTGCCCTTGGTTCTAATTATAATTTTGTCACTTTCATCCAATAAATTTTATTTCAAGTTTTCGATTAATTTCAAATCGTGACATATTCTTTCATTATCTCGAATTTCACAAATTCAAGATTACTATTTCATATGAATCAACTCTATATTAGGGGTAATATATATATATATATATATATATATATATATATATATATATATATATATATATATATATATATATATATATATATACACAAATTGAATGTATTATTTTTATTGCACTTAAGAATATCAACAATCTTTTCACAAGGTATTC